CTAGCGCTCTACCACTTGAGCTACAGCGCCACTTCTGGCTTTTTTCTTTTTGCTTATGTGGTGCTGAGGAATCGAACCCAGGGCCTCAGGCGTACAAGGCGAGTGCTCTACCACTGAGCCACCTTCTAGCCCCCACCACAGACATTTATTTTTGTGTTTATTTGTCTGGAGCAAGTGTGCTTAGCTGCCCAAGACCCCAGAAAACATGTCCACTGGACATGAGAGAACATTAAATCCCCTTCCTTGAAAGGGGCCTCCCTCCTCCCTCCTAGCTCAACCCAAGTCTGCAGATTAAGTGAGGCACAGGTTGACTACTGGTTGGGCTGTCACTCCTGCCTGACCTTAGGGAAGAGGAGCCAGGAGGTAAGGCTCCTGTGCCACATGCTGCCTACCAGCCTGCTACCCGCCTACCTGCTGCCAGCTGCCTATCCCATGCAGAGCCGGGAGCCACCACTGGGAGAGGAAGTGCAGTCAGTTACCAATCGGGCTATTTTCATAACGGCTGTCTCAGGCTGAGGGGAGGGGGAAGGGGGCGGGGGAGCAGCTACTGCAGCTTGCTCTCCAAACTAGGACTTGCTCAGCAGAGGCTAGCAGCCCGGAGCAGGAGCCGAAGCTGTCTCTGGGACCCGAGCCTCCCACCTGCCTCCACCCTGTCTTCCAGATCAGGTCAAAGGGGCCCCAAACCTTCTCTAGCCTCCTGCTACCTCCCTCCTTTGTCTGTGTGGGATCAGGGAAGGGAGGGGGTCAGGGTGGGCCGGGACACCACTATCCCTAGATGAAGGCCTCACCCTGCCAGGCTGCCCCAAAGCTGATGGAAACTCCTACCCATTCCAAGCAGGGCAGAACCTGAAAGATGAACTCTTCCCTGGCCTCCTTGTTCCCCTACTGTGCGGCCCTGGCCCCTTGTTCCCTTGTGAATTGTTGCTGTTTTGATTTAAGATCCTCTGCACAGGATACCTGTGATGAGTAGAGACCTGGGAAAATGGGCACCTGTCTGACTGGTCCACAGTAGCCTCTCCTCCAGCTTTCCCATCCCTCCCTCTGTTCCCAGCCCTGGGAGCAGAGTGACCAGAGATGGCTTCAGGCCAGAAATCCCATGAGGAAGACAGCTCAAGCCCCTGTGTTGGGCTTCTGGAGCTGCTGTAGCTGGGGTCACCATGCCTCAGGCTGAGCCTTCACAGAGTAGGAGCTGAAAGGTCCTGCCCATGCATGGAATGGGAACGGAGGTGGAATGCCACAGGTATCCTGGGCAGCTCCTCTGGAGGCAGAGGGCTCCCTGTGGGACACCCCAGCCCCAGGAGTGGAGGCACTCCTTGACATGAGCAGATACGCAGGTGGCACTGGCCACCCAGCCTTGTTCCTCATACGGTGATTGGTGACCACCGTGGGCACGCCTGCTTCCCTTTCTGAGTTTCTGTCCCAATGTAGACAGAGATAAACCCCAAGAGGCTGCACACTCACAGGCCCCTCCTCTGCCAGGTTTCATCACATGCCTTTCATCCATTGTTGTAGCAGAACCTCCCTACGCTTGGCCTTCAGAACTAGGCGGCATGACCCTCACTTAGCAGACAAGAAGTTTGGAACTTGGAAAGACTAGTTTATCAACCCAGGGCGGAAGGGGCAGGTTCAAGATTCTGAAATACTTGAGGCATGAGATGGTCTAGCCGGGACAGCAGGTGTCCTTTCTAGCTGGTAGTTGATGAAGCACTGGGGTCCATTAACCACTGCTGCCGGCTGCCTTAGCTTGGCTGTGCAAGGCCAGATAGCACTGCCTGTCCTCCCACAGGCCTTAGCTTCCCAGGCCCCTGGTAGCAAGCTGGGGGTTGATGGAATCTCATGAGCTCTTCCTGCCATTCTCCACCCCACTTGCCTCCCCATCCCCCACCCCTGTGTGGTAGGCTTCGTGCAGGCTCCTCACCAGGAAGCCCAGAAGCAGGCAGACATTTTGCTGTGTTGTGCTGTTAGCGTCTGAGTCCTGTGGGTCTCTGCCAGTGACCTTTACTTGTACTGTGTGGTATGTTGGAGGTGACAGAGTCTGAGGTGAGAAGAAGCGGCTGCTCAGAGCTATGCCTTGAGAAGAGCTCTCCACCCAGACTTCTGATTAGACTCTGGAGGAGCAGACTCTGAGGAGTCAGGCAGCTGCTGACCAGAAAACAGAGGTTTCTATGGAGACCAGAGGACAGGAAGCATGGGACCTGGGGGAGGAGAGCAGTAAGAGCCCATGGAGGGGGTAGGTGCCCAGCAAGACAGCTTGTCATAAAGAGTGATGCAGTCTAATAGTCTCCTTGGACAAACAGGGAAATTGAGGCTTGTGGTACATGGTCACATCACTGGCTTGCCTTATACCCTCCTGCGGGTAGGGGGTGGGGGAGGATGCACTGCTGGGCATTGGAGGAGTCTCCCACGCGGATGAGGGAGCTTGGGAAGCCGACCGGTGTGTGGAGCCCAGCTTTAGGAAGCACCTGCAAGCTGCTTCCCATAAAGGGAGGTGCAGGCTACCTTTCCCTCTTGGCCCTGTTGTCAGGCGAGTCTGGCCCAGCAGGCAGGGCCCAGCCCTCACCATTGCCCAGAAGACATCAGCACCTCCCCCACACTTACTGTGGCCTTTTGTTTTCTGGGTGACACTAGCATCAGGCAGTGTGTGTCTGGGTGACTAATCTTCTCCAGGCTGGGCAGCTGTCACTGAGCGGCCTGGGCAGATGAGTGGGGAAAGCTGATACCCTGGACTGCTGGCAAGCCAGTGCCCTGGCAGCAGTGGGCAGTGGGGCCTGAGGGCTTCTCTTCCAGGGTGTAAAGCAGCCCTGAGTTAGGCAGACCTGGGTTCAGGATCCAGCTCTGCCGCTGAAGACCATGGCCATGGGCTGAGCCTCCGTTTCCTCATCTCCATAATGGCGCTAGCCTTGCTGCCTCCCTCACAGGGTTGGGGAAGGAATCAAATGAGAGTGACACTGAAGGGCTTCCAAGGCAGTCCTAGAGCAAGTATTGACTAAATAGGATGACTATTATAATAGTTCTCTTCTTATCTTACCTGAGCCTCCAGGTCTAAGAGGAACATCCTGTGCTCCACCCATCCTGGGAGCAGGCTTTGGCATAGCTTGGCTCCAACACTTGCCCCACACTGGCTGCGTACGGGTTTTGGGCACCATTGCCTGTCTGTGCATTAGGCATGTGGTGTAATGTGGTACCTGCTTCTTGGGATGTTAGTGATTATACAGAGTGGTTCCCGTGAGTGTATCTGGGATGATGCTGATTGGATGAGGAAGCTAGCTTTTTTTTTTTTTTTTTTGAGTCCAGTCGTGGGGGCTGAACTCTGGGCCTGGGCGCTGTCCCTCAGCTCTTCAGCTCAAGGCGAGCGCTCTACCACTTGAGCCACAGCGCCACTTCTGGCTTTTTTTTGCTTATGTGGTGCTAAGGAATTGAGCCCAGGGCCTCGAGCATGCAAGGCAAGCGCTCTACCACTGAGCCACCTTCCCAGCCCCGCTTTTTTTTTTTTACTGGTCTTGGAACTTGAACTCAGGGCCTGGACACTGTCCCTGTGCTTTTGTGCTCAAAACTAGCACTCTACCACTTTAGCCACAGTTCTGTTTCTGGCTTTTTGTGTGTGTGTGTGCGATTAATTGGAAGTAAGAGTCTCACGGACCTTCCTGCCTTGCCTGGCAATCTTCAGATCTCAGCCTCCTGAGCAACTAGGATTACAGGCGTGAGCCACCAGCACCCAGCAAAGCCAGCGTTCCTCCTCCGCCCAGTCTGTCCGGTTTGGAGGGGTACTTTGCGGGTCACAAGCCATGCCTCCTATCCCAAGATTCTCTCATCTCTGCTTCTCCTGCATGATGGCCAGAGCCTGGGCTCCTCATTCCCTGCACCAGCCCTGAAGCCCTCGGGGCAGTAGAACAATGAGCCGAGCCAAAAGAAGGTGGAAGACATGAAGCTGGGGTGACTCCAGCCTGTCCTCTCTGACAGTCATCCCTCTTGCCCACTGCTGTGTGGGATGCCACCCATGGCCACTGTGACTGAGTCCTCAGCAGGCAGAAATCTGTCTGCCAGGCGGCTCTATTCCCCAGCTGTAACTTGGGCTCAGAGACTCCTCCCACCAGTCTTTCCTTAGGCCCAGGGCCCAGGAGAACCACTGATGAGATGTGGGCTCTCCTCTGGGGGCAGCACCACTCTGAGCTTCCTGCCCTCTCCCTGGTGTAGCAGAGGTGTGGGCACAGGAACCTGATGCCAGTGGCCAGGGAAGGAGAGAAGGGCAGACTGGAGGTGAGCAGGTGAAGGAGTGGACTTTAGAATGGCAGGAGGTCCTGTTGGAAAAGGGTGGTGCTCACAACCCCCTTCTCCCGAGAGTAGGGACTAGGGTGGGGGTACTGGAGCTTGGAATTAGGAACCTAGGGGTGTCTAGTACAGGAGCCCTCAGGAGCAGAGCTGGAGGGGTTTTCAGGCATCACTTGGAATGTCTATGCTCTGTCCCTTCAGAAAGGTGAGATAGCTGTCGAGAACTAGAAAGTTCTCCCCATACAGACCCATACACCCAGAATCCAGGCTCGAGTAAAGGCAGGAACACTCCTCCGGGGCGGCAGGCGGGGTGGGGGGGAGAGGGGGATGACTACCTTCCTCTGAGTGGCTTTCCGCAGGGCCTCCAGCAGATGTCATTCCCCCTGTGGGGCAGCCTTCAGTCTGACTCAAGGCCAGGGCTGAGAAACTGGAGAAACCTACCTCCTCTGAGTTCCTTTGCAGAGAGCCCTGTTATATATCATTGCTTGGTTTGTACTGTGTCCAAGGAAGGGAAACTACAAATCCAACCTATTCCATGTTGGGGGCAGAAAGAAGGCCAGACCCCAGAGCCTTACCCTCTGCCTAGGTCAGCTCTGACTCCCAGCTTGCCCTCTCTCCCTTTTCCATCAGCTCCTGGAGAAGGAAGTGGAGCCCCATGGGCAGTGGGCTTCTGGTGTTTGGGCAGGGGAAGTGCCTCCTACGTGGGGCAGCCTGCAGTGCATCTGGGGAGTGCTCACACAGCCGTGGGGAAGGGCTCCCCACCAATCCCCTGGTTCCCGCAAACACTGTTCATGGAGGCCAGAAGCCAAGGTTACCCCCATCCCTAACTCCTAAGGGTCCCTTCACTCCCTGGCACAGGTGGGCCACAGCCTGGCCCAGCTTCTGACGTTCTGGTCTGTGTGCCCAACAGCCACTAGCCTGCGCCTGCATGGAGACCTTCTTTAGGAGACACTTCCAGCGGAAGGCATCGGGCCCTGGTGAGGGGCAGCGGCGGCCCAGCAGTGTGGGGTTGCCCACAGGCAAGGCCCGGCGCCGCTCCCCTGCTGGGCAGGCCTCCTCATCCCTAGCCCAGCGGCGCCGCTCCAGTGCCCAGCTTCAGGGCTGCCTCCCAAGCTGTGGGGTGGGCATCAGGGGCGCCAGTCGCCGGCGCTCCAGTACTGTACCCCCTGCCTGCAACCCTCGCTTTAGTGTGGAAACAGGGCCCGTCCGGAGAGGAGCTCAACTTCTGGGTGCACCCCTGCTGTTGGCCGGGCTTGTAGGCATGGAAGAGGAGGAGGAGAGGGTGGATGTGACAAACGAGGCATCAGGTGCTGCCCAGCCAAGCACCAGGACACCAGGGCCCTCGCCACCCCGGGGCCCCCGGCCACTGCTGCCCATGCCCCGTTGCCTGCGCCGAGCCTCCTCCCACCTGCTCCCTGCTGACGTGGTGTGTGGCCAGACACTGTGCGGCCTGCGAGGCCACTATCGTCGCCTCAGCCAGCAGCGGCCCTCAGGCCGAAGAGCCTCAGGCTCCACATTGGGCTCCACGATCCCCACCCACAGGCGCCCACTGTCCCGTAGACGACAGGTAGCCCTACGGCGCAAGTCGGCAGGACCTCAGGCCTGGAGCGCTCTGCTTGTGTAGGTATAGCGGTGGCCGGCAGGGTCAGAGGTGTAGTCACTGAGGGGTTTGGCTTGGGGCGAGGGTCTTGATACTGCACCCAGCCTGAGGGTGGCCAGCCTCGGGCAGTGACCGAAGCCAGTACACTTCAGAAAGGCCACGAAAGGCGGAGGCACCTGTAGTAGCTTCAGGATGCCTGGGCTGCTGCTGTCCCCATGTTGGCCTTGGTGAAAGGCAGTCATCCCAGGTGGTGAGGAAGGAAGTACAGTCTGCAAGTGCCCAGCTGACCCCACGGCCTCAGCTGTCCCTTTTTTTTTTTTTTT